CCCCCCCCCCCCCCCCCCCGATAAGTTCTCTAATGGTCCGTCCATAAATGGGTACCGGCGACATACTGCTTGGGGGTAGCCCTGCGATGGACTAGCATTCCGTCCAGGGGGGAGTAGCAAACTCTTGGGTGCTTCATGTTTGAGCCTTTGGTTCGTGTGCGTCTTTACCTTTTTATAATGTTGGCTAAATAATAGCTGACATGTTTTTGATGGACAACAAAACTCAGTTACAGTTGATAAGCCCTAACAGCAGGTATTGCAAAGTACGACAGAGTGTCATAAGTTACAATTCACGGCAGCTAACCGCCATATTACAAATTACGACAACTTGTTATTACAATTTGTGATAGCTTGGTTATTACAAATTCTCGACAAATGTTGTTACAATTTACCACGACTGTTATTGCAATTCAATTTTACGACAGGATTACAATTCACGACAGAACCGTCTCCTGTCTATAGTCAAGTTTCAATTTTGGGGGTGCTTTATCAAGACTGATATAACTTGGCTATCACAGTTCATTCTACAGCTGATTCTATGTTTACGTTGCACTAAAACTTCTAAACAGAGCGATCAACACATACTTTCTCCAGGACATCATCGATTCAAGCGAGACAGATGTGGAAGTTAGTTCAGTTTGGATGACTACTTGGCAGCGATCGTCATGTATTTTAGTACTTTCAACGCCAACTTTTGTGTTTACTAGGTAAAGACAACAGCTTTTTATATTGCTTCAAGAGATACTTGCATTTTTAGCCAGCGACCGAATTCAGGATCAATTACATTCCCTACTAACATGTAAAAATTATACATACAATCATATTTATCATTATTATAATAAGATGGGATATTTTTATTCTAGGAAGTCTGATAAGTTAATTATAGCTATTGTTAAAACTACTGCTCTTGAGCACGTACTACATTTTCAGGGCGGATTCATTTGCATCCTAATCAACAAATAGCCGTCACATTTGCCATAAACACAATTAAAAATATCGCAAAAACCATAAAAGAATCCACCCTTAATAATTTTGCCTTTAAAATTTCCAGTTTGTCCGTAGTTAATTTATGGAATAGTTTACCCAGTCGTTCTCGATGCCAAATTAAAGAAGCCTCGCTCACACCATGTAAAATTAATGCCCTAATGATAAATTTCAAATTGAAATTTCAATACTTTTCTAATTTTTTTAGTGTTAATTTTAAATATTGCTTTCCTGGTTTAAGGCATGCCCATTGATTGGGAAACACAAACTTTACTGGGAAATTCTATCTAGATCGCAAATCATTTCGACAAAATATTCATCTCGAGGGGCAAACTTGCTTATAAGAAGATCATGGAGTTCTGTTTACTACGCACGCCGGTCAAACTAAGGTATAGCGACCATTAAACCAGAAAAAATTGTAAATGGTTAATGTAAACAAGCTAGTCGCTCCATTGACGGCCTGTTCCAGGCTCCGAAATAGTCGGGTCCGCTAAATTGAGAGGCTTGCTCGTGCAACTCTACAAGTTTACTCTTCCAGTTTCGATCGATCCTTTTTGTCACCGCGCGGAAATATTTAACAACAAACTTCACCGAAACTTACAAAATTTAAAGGGCGAAGAATTTCTCCTGCATGTGCCTGACAAGTATGCTGAGTAGAAATATACAGCCACGCACACGATTTCGCGCGACGGTAACTGTGCAAAAACATCTCTTCCCTCTGAAAAACTTTGTCTACCACCAACCTCTACCCTTTTCTTAAACTTTTTCTCTCGGGAAATGACGAGAGACTTTTTCCTAAACATTTTTAAAAGTCACTTTTGAAACTGGAAGCAGACATATCGATACCTACCTATAAAAACTCATTAAGACGTTTGCGTACGAAATCGTGTGCGTAGCTGATTACGCCTGCACGGCATACATACTTGTTAGGCACTTGTATAGCAGAAAATCCTCGCCCTTTAAAGTTTACACGACGAAGAGACGATCAGTCCACAGTCTGATTTCTTCAGTTGATGCATATTTTGTTTTGCTAACATGCCAAATTATGGAATTTCTTCGGTTTGTTGGGCCTCATTTTCACTGAAAACTCTTTTCGAAGAAAGCTCTCCTGCACAAGCCAGCAGGTACGACGAACAGTCGAGTTTGCAGGTAAACTCCTTCGTATAAGAAGATCACGAAAGGAGCGCGATAAATGCTGGTCTCCGATTGAACACAAAAATCCGAGACAGGCATTCGAATGAGTCATGAAACTGGTTCGTTAAGAGTAGCATCCCAGGAGCTCTCTCGCCCGTTCTTGAAAACTTTCTCCGCCGCTTTTCACGACGGACCCGACCGAGCGCCCCTGGGTCTCCGAGGATCAGCTCTTCCCGGCTAAAAAGGTTCCGCTCTTGAAACTCCCCCAATTCCTTCGCGGGAAATGATTATTTGAAGCTTTAATTGTCATCTTTTTGTAGCTTGGGAGGCTGGTGGGATCGTTCGCTCGAGGAAAATTTTGGAAGAGAAGTTGCGAAGGCGTGCGAAGAACGGCCGGGGAGGCGACGCTTTGAAATCTACTCGCGCCTTCGGCGCTCGCTTTTGGCGGCTAAGCCGCGAGAATTGCGGGCTTCGCCACAAAACTTTCACACATGCAAAAATAATTCTAGTTTTTCTGCGATGAAACGAGAATATAGTATTAAGTTTCAGAATGCTTTCATTGTTTTTTAACCAGCTCCTTATGGCCGCAAATTTTGTTACGTTAATTTTCAAACAATCGGCTAGAAAAAAAAATTTTCTTCTCATCCATAAACATAATGACCGAACTGACGGTCGAAACGTCGTTCTGACATTTTTCCCAATTAACTTTTACTGCAAAATATCATGATTGTCAACGTTCCTCTCAGACTAAGAGAACGTTGCTTAAGACAAAAAAAAAGTCTGACATTCTTTTCTCACATGGACAAATGCAAAATAACAAAAATGATAAGAGCTGCAACTTGACCAACGTGAAAAAAGATAATGTTGGCTGCAGTGTTGGCTGCAGTTGAAGGGATCGTCGGCGGACCAGCCATTGTTGCAGTGGTGTAGTTGTAGTTGCATCTGTCTGATTGGCAACTAGCCATGTTAAAGCAAACTGAACCTTTTCCATAGGTCTTGCAAGGATCTTCGTTACAGCTTTCACCCACCTCACAACAGCCTGATAACCAAAAATCAATAGACAAATTAAAAAGACAAAATTATGTGAACGCAACTAACTGGTCTCGAATCAGTAAGCAAAGAGGTCGAAGGGCAAGGTCGTTGAGTGTTTGAAGCTTGGGTCAAATGATATAACATACCGTAAAATTCCGAAAATAAGCCCAGGGGCTTATATTTTTCAAAGGCCCTTTTTGAGGGGCTTATTTTTGGAGGGGCTTATATTCGGAGGGGCTTATCTACGGACGGAAATTTGCGTGTCAAAATCGATCGGGCTAGCCTTATAAAAGGAAGGAAATTTACCGTTTTTTCTTTGTTTTACTTTGTATTTGAGGGCAATTTCCGAGTACAAGCCCCCCGGGGGGCTTATATTTGGAGGGGCGATTTAACGGAGGGTTTTTTGCGTTACGAGTTTGGGGGGCTTATATTTGGAGGGGCTTATTTTCGGAATTTTACGGTATTAGTATATACACACTCAGTGATCTTGGTAATTAAAGCAATCTGATTGGTTAGCTATCTCGGTCTATGATGTTTTAGTAAAATCCAACGAGTGGTCTATTATCAGTGCTGCGTTCTGATTGGTTGAGCTACTACTAGGCTATTGTTATAGCCCAATAGTAGTGAAAACCGCGGGCTTTTTGCCAGCAAAAAAGGCTTAAAGTCTAGCTTTTAACTAGCTAAAAATTTTTTATTCTCGATATTTTTGACCAACTAGTTGGATTTTACTAAAACAATTATTCCTCTCGCCCTCATGGCCTGTGAGTCAATAGCCCATGAGGCCTGACTCAGAGCCCATGCGGGCTCGAGGAATAATTGTTAAATATTCACCGCGCTAGGCGGTGAATATAAAGCAGAACAAAATCGCTGTCGTGAGCTGGGTGTTTTGCCAAAGTTTCTTAGTAAAGCCTTTTTGAATCTCCAAGTGCTGATGACTTTGAAGGTAAGAAAAGACTTCATGGTGTTCAAACAGCGTGGTTTATTGATCTTTATTGTGAAGTGGTTTACTGTAGCTGACTTTTTGTACGCTCGAAGCTATGTTTACCACTACCGGAGGAAAACAAGGTCGCTTCGTCACTGTTTTGTGATTTCGGGATTTTCTCGCAAGACCAATTTTGCCTGTAAATAGATGTTAATTTATGGAGAAAAAAGGAAGGCAAATATTTTCAAAAATTGTACGAGCTAGCAAGTTAAGAAGGCAAAGAACTTTGGAGATAAACAACGCTCACCTTGATCGTAGCCTCTGTTGACAGCATTCGCAAGAAGCGACAAAGAAAAATTTCTCATTCACGGTGAGTTGACAGAAACAAATAAAGCTCTACTTTTCTTCTCAGAATTGGGTAGTAATTTAAATTTTCGGGGTCTTCTTTTAAACTGTTGATGCTAAAGCTTAAAAAATTCGATAGAAAAAGATTAAAACTATCACTTGCTATGTTTGAAGATACTGTAAAGATTTAACTTTTGCGCATCCACTGTTTACGGCTTTGTGTTCACGCTTGAATTCACCCGTCGATCAAATTAATCGTTTTTTTGGTTTCCTTTCTGATTATGTTGAGATCACACAGGCTCAGTTAATATTGTTGAATAATCCCCTCGACGAATTCAACAATATTAACTTCGCCTTCGGCGAATAATTGTTAAATATAAAAAATGTAATTGTTAGGGATTTAACAACTGGTTATCTCAGTTGGGGGATCGAGCGCCGGTCTTACCTTCCGAACTGGAGGACGTGGGCTTAAACCCCGGTATTGTCTTTAAAAACTCACCTGTAAGATCACGCTGGCTGTGATAAAAGACCTTGAGTGCTTTCCATTTTGCCAAACCAAACAGTCAGAAACCAGTGAAATTATTAAGAGAAATGTAACGACATTGTTCGATGGAAAAAAAAAATCGAACCGGAGCGAGCCTGTTGGCATGGGAAAGCACCCCTTGTCTCAGCTCAGATGATCGCGTCATTGGTTTTTAAAGCCGTACGCGTTGGCCTTGTCTCCTTCTCCATCTCAGTGGTCACTGAATCGAAGCAGTCGAAGGGAGCGTAAAAGGACCCAAACTATACTGTTCGCAAAGAGTATAGGAGACGTTTCCCCGGTGGTGTGGCCTATCTTGTACACATCATTCATTTTGATGATTTTTTTGTTGTTTACAGTGGGCTCGCAAATAGGATTGATAGCAGCTGCAGGTAGCGCCTTTGAATCATGACGCCCGAGCTCTGACTGATAACATGTTAACATATAATGTAAATAGGACACGTCTGTTGTCCTCTCATCCGCGACATTTCATCTATCCCTCCCCCCGCCCTCTCTCTCCCTCCCTCCCTTCCTCCCTCCCTCCCTCCATCCTTCCATCCATTAAACAGTAAGGCTAAAAAATCAAGGCGGGGTTCCACTAAGCGATTTAAGGAAAAGTAATCACACTACTTTACTGGCACTTTACTTACTTTTGAAGTCAAGGACCTGATTGCGTCTGGTGTAGTTAACCGTGTACACTTGGCAGGCGAACACAACGTTCGGCAACGAGCTGTCAGCACAATTTACTGTAGCTGTATTGGAACTGCTACATAGGTCAGATGGAGCTGGTCCACCGCAACGGTAACAGGTGATCGACGAAGCTTAAACAGTAAAATAATTTTAAAATTGTAAAGGAAGTTGTAGTATATTTATGGAAAAATGGTTTAGTACCATGGAAGGGTAGCTAACAACACTATCAAGGCAGTCATATCATACGGAGTAAGGCCTCTTTTTGACTAAGAGTTGTCATTGACCTCTGTATGCTATTTGTTTTTCAGAGTGAAAAGTTTCCATCCTTTTTTATTGGACTGTTCTTACGATTTAACATGATTCACTGATCAAATTTTCTTGACAACAGAGTCGATCATCACGGTATTATTGTTAAGTTAAATTGTTGCGGTCCCACCTACTGCGGAGAGGGAAAAGGCAACGAGCGTTGTGAAGATAAATTTCATGTTGATCTGGTATGGCGATAGTAGGGCGTTGCAAGTCAAACTGATCTCCCGTCCAGAAGCCTTAGGCTATGTGGTCGAATAGTTTGATGGACAGTGGGTATGAAATAACCACTATGTTAGCTCATGGAGAACATCCTCAAGTAAATTTTTATCATTTCTCCAAATATGGTAATGTTTACTAGGGTCCATATTCATTTTCGTGTTCATGTCACTTTCGGAATTACCCTGCGAGCAGACGTTTCTTTCTAGCATGGCTTTTAGGATTTCGGAGTAGTTCACGTTGCTTGTCAGACTGACAAAGGAAGCGAACCGACTTATTAAAAAGCCATGCTAGGAAGAAGCCCCTGCTCGCAGGAAGTTATATCACCTGATCTTTCATAGCATATGGTGAACAAACTCATTTGAATATTCCCATAAATACAAATCCAAGATTAATTTGGAAAATGTGAGGAATAAACAAACACTTGCACACAATACCTTTTCTACCATAATTTATTTCCTTCCCAAATCAACATCTACCTCGTCCCCAGTGGCTAACGATCACTTTTTGGGGGATATTTGAGTTGCGCTCGTTCCCATCATCCCCCTTTCGCGTTTCTCGCGTGTTGTTTCTCGCTTTCTTGTCTCGCTTAGCCATGGGAAAGCATCAACATCATTTCCCTCAAAAAACACCCGGACTGCCCAATTAAACAAATACAATGATAAATAACATTACAAAGGCAAGCACCTCTCATCACTGTCATAAATCACTGTCGGGGTGGAAATTGAAAAGTACGAGCACTGAAAAGCTTATCATACAATGAGAAACTCCCACCAAAGCGTTACAGGTAATTATGCACATAGTTTGCATCACGACGTTTTCACAACGACACCGAGGTGTGTGCGCGCGGCATGCCGGGAGTCTTATAAATCACAAACGGATTGGAATGGACTGTTCACTTGTTGAGGATTAGCCTCAACAGTTACCATTCATGACTATCCAGGACTAACTGAACCTAGACGATCATACAACTTCAAATGACACTGGTATATCTCCAAGAAAAACAGACTTGAAATATCCAGAGAATACTAATAAAAATAACTCTCACCTCTCCGCTCCTTTATTCGCCCCCCCCCCCCTTCCTGGTTAGATAGAATCCTCATTTGTAATTACTACGAAACATAACTACATTATCGTATCTACTTTAAAATTTTAATTATTACTTTTAAGGTCATACATGGCATGTCACCTTGATAAATAAGCAAGTTAGTTAGTATTAGGTCCTGTTCTGCATAGTCATTAAGATCCAATTACTCCATTGTTTTAGAAACGTCCTTTCGGGCGCATGCTGGCAACTTTAGGGGCGAGATGTTTTCCGCTACCGCCCTTAAACTCTGGAACAGCCTCCCCACGCATACCCATGAAATTAAATCACTTGCCGTTTTTAAGAAAAATGTCAAGACATATCTTTTAGATTAGCTTTTACGTAGTTTTGAATACATTTTATTTTATTTTCATTTTATTTAAGCATTTTTCAGCATCTTTTATGAACTTTAACCAGTATGTACAGAATGTAATTAAAAAGCAATTATATGTCAAAAGGCGCTATTGAGGTATTAGATCTACTAAAAACATTCCATTTGAAAAATATATTTCTCAAATAATAAAGAGTTTTGCAAAATAAAAATTGCACAGCTCTATCAACCGAGAGCTCAGCTTTAGGAAAATTGATATCCGAGAAGTCAATTTTCACACCTAAGGTGTGATTTATATCGCAGGCTCAAAAAATCAAGAGTTGCATATTTCTGGCTTTCCCTCGATCAGGGGCACCCAACAACCGAATGTTTCCAAATACGCCAGAAGTATCTCAGATGTTTTTCTCTATGCTTTAGAAGCCTGTTTGGTTAATTTGGGGTTGCCCTAAAAACTGTTTATCTGTTCTAAGAGACCTTTTTAAACAAAAAGCGCAATATCTTAATATTATAAATTCTCATCTTTTTACATCAATTTGTTTTCAGTGCGGTTCCTGAATGAAGCCGCAAAGTTGTCCTTAATTTTCGTCGCGCTGCGCTGTTTTCTTTGTCATCATCTTGAATTCTTACAAGTAAACCGCTCTTCATAATGACCCGATTGTAGCACGGAACGTGGCGAGAAAATACGAACATCTTCGTTTGAACTAGTCTGCTACACAGCCGTTTTTAGTGTCGTCACGCAACGCTTTACTGATATTCTCCAATATTTTACTGATATTCTCCAATATTAAAATATTGGAGAATATCAGTAATCGGCTCCTCTCTAAAATATCGGAGAATATCAGTAATCGGCTCCTGAGAATATTTTCAGTATGGGAATTTAGTTTCCCCCAATTATTCTCCAGTCATGCACTTTTTGTATTTTCCGTAATTTATTTAATTTGTATTAGCATGACAAAGTATTTTTGAACTTGACTCAAACTTTCGTGACCTGCTCTCAATAATAGCGTAAACGACCTGTTAGCCTTAGCGACGCGCTAATTTGCACAATAGGTCATTTAACCCGGCCGTATTTGTCATCGACCTTGCAAGGATCATATATCAAATGTGTCTCTGGAAGGCTTTCACAGCCATAGAAATCATTTAAAAATACCCGGGGGGGGGGGG